ACTTTTGACACACTTTTTTTTTTTTTTTTTTCTGAGCTAGTGTTGTGCATTTGTGTCTTGGCAGCTGGAGAGCTATGTCTATGAATAATGAGTCAATTATCATCCAGCCTCGGGGAAAGTACAATTATTCCTGACTGGCCAGGCTAAGGTAATCCACTCCTCCCTGTGCCCTTTCCAGTGAAGAACATGAAACAGTTGGAATTCAGACCACTGCAGAGGGAATTTAGACAAAACATCTGTCTGCTGAATTTAGCTTCTTTGGACTTATTCTGATTTATGATTGATTGGTTTTTAAATTGCTTATTTAATCCTAATGACTGTCGCTCCAGGGGAGGCCATATACCAAGGAGTATGTGATCAAGAAGCAGTGGAGTGAGTAGTTTGGCTGGGCAAATGAAGAGCAAATTTTGTCCAGAGCAACATTGCTTTAGGCTAGGAGTATGATATGAAAATCACCCCCCTGACTTTCAAAGTACCCAGTCTTGTTATAAGCATGATTGCTTTATCCCCTATGCTCTTGGCAGGAGGTTTCTGGCAACTACCCAGTGTTGCACAGAATTACACCCCCACCCCCATGAATTTTTCTTTCCTCCTTAGCAACATATTCAGTATCTCTTCACAACTGAGAACATGCTCTTGATTTGTATTTCTGTTGACCATGGTGCAGAAGAACAGACACTCAGGTGTTGCTGGGAGAATTAGGTCATGAATTCTGATGTTGGTTGTGTTGATCTGTGAGAACTTTCCTGTAAGGTGTAAACTTTCTTCTAAGCTCATGGACACTAGTCTGGCCTTTGAATGGATGAATTTGAATTTTTAAAAAGTTTCTTTCAAAACCGAGTTCTCTGAAACTGACCGCTTTCATCTGGAAGATGTACAATCAGTTTACGATTGGTGTTTAATTTATCAAGGTGTCCATAGTTTCAACCTTTTGCAGGAGCGTAACCTTTTTCTTTGGCCTGAAATTAGACATTGTAGGTGTAGTTGGTGACCTTGTAAGGGAGATCTGTTGGAAGCTTGTCTGTTTGGTATCAAAAGGAAATTGAAATCCCATTGCTTTGGAATAATGAAACCTTTAGCAAAAAACCTTTGTTTCATGTGTATTGAAGTTTTGACTCAGAAATGCCCAAAGAAACACTCTTT